GTTGCATTTTTTTACCTCCTGTATTGTGTCTTGGATAAATGTGGATGATGTTAATATGCGTTTCAGGTTTTTAGATTGGCGTCTGTTTTTAATTATTTTTGTTGTTTTTTTAGTATATTTTTCAATTTGTCATTCTTTGTAATTTCTGTAAATAGTTCTGAGCTGTTCTTGCTGTATGTTGAGACATATGCCAGAGTTTGTTCGACGTTACGTTTCTTTGGATTTCGTAGATGGTCTAGGGGAATTTTTTGCTAGTTCGAAACATTTGTTTGTAGCCACATTTTTTTAGAGTTCTATATACTTCTAGGTGTTTTTGGAGGTGTTTGTCAGCGACTATAGTGCAAACCCTACGTGCTAGAGAATAGGGGATGGATTTCAGGCAGCTTTTTGGGTGATGGCTCTTGAAATGAAGATATTGTTGGGTGTCTGTAGGTTTGTGGTAGATATCTGTGATTATGTCTGTTTTAATATCTAATGTGTATATATAAAAATGGTAATTCGTTAAAATTATATTCTTGCGTGAATCTGATGCAGAGTGTGGAATCTTAATATCGCTCCATTTCCAGAAAATGAAGCAATCATCTTAGAATCGTTTCCAAGATTTAGTGAAGTGAGTTTTTATATATTTTCCCGACATATTTGTTCTATCTTTTTATATAGGTTTTCCTCTAGGTAAGCTAATATTAGGATGGCATATGTTGGTACCATTTTTGTTCCCATTGCGGTACCTAGGGTTAGGATATAGTTTTTGTTGTCAAATTCGAAGGTGTTATTATTTAGAATTAGGTCTATACTATCGATAATGAATTCCTTAGTGAATCTGGGATGTAGTGTTTCTGGATATTTTTCAATCCAGAATGAGATTACCTTTTTGACCAAATTCATGGGGTATGTGGCTATATAGGCTACTGCTGTCAAAAGTTTCCATAAGTGTTCCTGTTCCCAGATCTACTCTTCGTGGTATGGAGCTAAGAAAGTGAATATCGTCTCTGATATAGCTTCTAATCTGCTTAGTAAATGGTTGTAATGTTGTGTCTATGAAGTTACTGAGTCTGCTTGCTGGACAAACTGGTCCTGCTACAATGGATCTGAATATAAGGTCACTGGATTTTGGGATGTTAATGTATTCAGGTTTTTGTGTCTAGATAGCTGGGTTTTTTTTTATTTCATTCGATTTGTGAATTTTTTGTAGTCCATAGAAATTGCTTGTTTTTGGTACAAAGTTTATTAGGAAATCCTTTTACTTTTTTTGTTAATATCTTACGTGTTGTGCAGAGTTTTGTGATTTTTGATATAATGTTTTTGTCTATGTTGGTGTCGATTTATTTGTAGTCGTTCTTATCCCCTAGTGCCTCTAGAACTTTGGTTTTGTAGTGTGTATATATTTGTAGCCTCTGGTCTTATCGGACTCCTCCTAACGTTTCAGAGATGGACCCCCATAACTATATATATTCTGAAACTACATTACCCAGGGTACTTTGATAAATATATTTCATTTTGGTCAAAAGGGGGATACCGGGGGGGGGGGCAACCCCCACTGAATCCTCTCTTGATTTAAATTAAATTTAATCAAGGAAATGACTCATTTTCAACATTTAGGAGGAGAAAGCCAGAAGATGGAGGTCACATCGGTAAGATCATTGAGTAATATTGAAATGCATCATTTTTCTCCACAAATTATATCAAGGATTTAAAATCGATTATCATTTTCTTACAAAAAATGTTTGACACGCAGCTAGGATCGGGTAATTTGGCTAGTGTTAAAATAAAAAGCAACAATAATAACAGTCAAATTAAAAATAACATAGTATTGTTTAGATAATAAGGAATTATAAGATGGAATAAAACAAGTAATAAAAATATTTTGAAGTGAAAATGTATCATTAAGATGAAATAAAATTCGTAATATAATAAAAATAATAATCCTATTTTGCTTTTGCGGCATTTAACTGCTGTAAAGGTTTTTCATTTGAGTGACATATTTTTCTATGTTCATCGTGTATTTATTTATTTATTTTTTAAGATGTCTCTTGCAATCATTTGGGCATTTTCTTCGCCCATAATCAAGGCAATAATGTCACCAAGACGCAAGGAGGTTTACTATGATTGAAAAAGAAAAAAAAAAAAATGAAAAAAACACTAATGAGGAGAAAACGACAATAAAAGAATAATATTCAAGAAGAGAAGATGGCGATCATTTTTTTTTATATTGCTTCGATTTGTGACTCCTTAGAATCATTATTTCAATGAAAATTAATTCCACTTCGCCAACAAAAATGTCATACTTTAGTAGTTTCTTTTTTGCCAACTAATTTTCCCGTCTAACACCATCTTTGTCTCTTAGGATATTTATCTTTCATTGATCAGTTTAGACCCAAACCTCTTGTTCGTTTTAAAAACTGGTAATAAAATAATAATAGCTTATTTGGGTAAAATGCAGAAATAAAAATATTGACTAAAACGAGTAATAGTAATAATAGTGTTGGGACAAAAAGCAACAGTAAGATCGATTCAAATTAGTAATAACATAATAGTGTTTGGATAATAAGCAACTATAAAATGGAATAAAAGTAGCTATAAAGTTTAATTTTTCACTGAGAGCCTCGTTTACATATTTTTCGATGTTCAGTGTGCCTTTCTTAGACGTCTGACACAATCATTTGGGTGCTTACATGGTTTCATCAGAAGTCGTTTAATTGATAAAATGCATAAACATTTTTTTTACATGGCCTCGTCGTTTGACCGTTTTGCCAATCATATCTTTACAAAAATTTAATCTAAAGGCTATCTTTGTCACTTAGAAAATTTAACTATCTCCCCCCAAAAAAACAAAGAAAAACAGAAAACAAAACCCAAAGAAAAACAGAAAACCCAAAGAAAAACAGAAAACAAAACCCAAAGAAAAACAGAAAACAAAAAATACAACCCAACCTCCAAAAAAAAAAAAAAAAAACAAAAAAACAGTTATGAAGTGAGAAGGCATCTTGGCGTGGTGTAATGGTTAGTAAGCTTGTCTCGCTAAAACAGTTACAACTGAATAATGAGTTCGATCCTCACTGGGTGCCCTAAATTTTCGGCCTTGTGTCACATCTAAGCTATGCTTAGAAAATCAATTTAGAGATTTGACCCTCTCGCGGAGCTCTAAGATCTTGTCGAACTCAATGCTTTCAGGCAGAGAGGAACCCAGACGAGGTTATGCCATAAGGCAGAGTCTTGTCTGGGGGGAGGTAGACAGACCCGACTCCAAGGAAATTTTTGTCCCAGCCTAGGGGCTCGGATTTTCCCCCCACAGAAAAATTGGCCTTATGCTGCATCCTACCTCGTGGGGAGGTTTGGTAAATCTCGAGCAATGAACTGAGGACCAAGAGTTACAAGTTTCCATAGCAATTTGATATCGACGAGTTTATCCCCAACTCCTCTTGAATCTTTCCCAGCATTGTTTATTTGGCAATGTAAGTAAAGAGTCTATTGAGAATGGTGGGGAGAGATTGCCTAACCGATTACTCTCCCAGAAACTACGGTGGGTAATAGGTAGAGATGGGAGAGAGACTGGCGGTAACAAAAAAATAACACTGTTTCGGAAAACACAGCCACTTGAGGAACAAAAATGCCCAAGGGACCGACTTTACAAGACACCGTATCATCGTATTTACCTAGACACTCCGCACTGAGTTAGGAAGCGACACAAGGCCAGTTATTTAATGTAGGGAACTCGAGCGCGTACACTCAGGCCATTGGTTAAAATCTGCCCAGCTCCCACTTACGCGAGGTCGGGCACAGAGCTTGTCTTAGCTGGTCGAAGCTAGTCAAGAGCCACGGATGAGATACTACGATATGATCATGTCCGATTGGCGTCTTCCAACATAACATGTCTTGCCAACTGCTGATTTTCCTCTTGCTTTTATTGACATGAGGCATCTTAGAAAGACCCGGATCTTGACCAGTTGCAGAGAGGCCCGTATCTAGACGTATCTGCTTGTCCCGCTGCTCACGGGGGGAAAAAAAACCCGTATGTAATTGGGGTTGACAAACATGTCCGTATGCGATCCGAGGCCTCTTGTGCGTCTGTACTGACGCTCGTTCGCCACAGTTTAAGATATGTATTTTTCTTAGTAACTGAATTTTCTTTTTGCCAAAATGCATCACCTTTCTAAATTTAAAAGTGAAATGTCAAAATAGCTCAATGTATCAATGCGCCTTTTCATACAGACTGTAAGATAATGAGAAGTTTAATAAATTCTTTTCTATGCAAGATAAAAATGGAAGAAAATGAAGATGTCGGTCACCCTAGCTTCAGGCTGGGTTGTTAGTTATTTTTCTCCTGTTGGAAAATGTGAAACCATTCGTTTATTCAAAGTTTCGCCTGACAAAAACGATGAAACAAAAGACATGATCTTAAACAACTGCTGGGTTTATCCGATGAACCGAACAAAAAAAAAAAAAAAAAAAAAAATCCTATTAACTTTTTCATACAAGTAAATGGCGGATAGCCTGACCTTTTCTTTTTTTTTCCGAGATAGAGAAGGGACGTCATTGTCGGAAACAAAAAGATTTTTTTTTAAAGTTAATTTACAAAATGGAGAAAACAGTAACAGTAAATTCCAGGTTCTTAGCGTCTCTAACTACGCTTATGTGTCATTATTCACGCGGGTGATCTTGGCTCTCCACAACTTCCTAGCTTTTATGGGCCTAAATAAATCGATTGTTTATTATCCCAGTTGATGTTTTCTCCTGGCTTCTCTTGCCATCACTACGCCCTCCGAGTGTTAAATACTCCATGCCCTCTTCCCTCATTATGTGACCTAGAAATATCAGCTGTAAGGTTTCTTCTTGTTACTATTTTTCTTATAACTTCCTCATTGTTCACATGATCTGTCTGTGGCAGAATCATCTGTCGCTACAAATCACTTCCTGATTGTAAGTATAGCTTTCTTTGTAGTTACAACGTGGGACGGCAGTACAAGACCGAGACGAGAGACCACAAGACGGAGGGGTGGGGCTCAAGACGAGAGACCACAAGACGGAGGGTGGGGCTCAAGACGAGACCACAAGACGGAGGGTGGGGGCTCAAGACGAGAGACCACAAGACGGAGGGGGGGGGACCTCAAGACGAGAGACCACAAGACGGAGGGGTGGGGCTCAAGACGAGAGACCACAAGACGGAGGGGTGGGGCTCAAGACGAGAGACCACAAGACGGAGGGGTGGGGCTCAAGACGAGAGACCACAGGAGAGACTTTGGGGCTCAAGACGAGAGACCACAGGAGAGACTTTAGGGCTCAAGATGAGGAGCACAAAGCGGGGGAGCCGCGACAAAAGCCGTCCACAAGATAGAGAAACTACAAACAAAAACATTAAAATAAACTAGTGTCGATAGAAGAAAATAATACAAATAAAAAAAGGGAAAATATGTCAAATACAGACAGCGAAAAATCGAGAGAAGTCGACACCATATTCGATAATTCAAGCGACCGAAATGATGGAGTGAAAATGAAGGACACCCGCCACATGGGAAGAGAGCAGGTGTCAATAGAATTAATGAAGAAACCCGTTTGTTCATCAAAAGACTACACAAATCAGAGCGGACAAACTTTCATCTTCTGTCTACACTTCTCGAATGCATCCGATTAGGATAACGATCGTTGATTGGCCCGCACAACACACACACCAGTAATGACACAAATATAGAAAACCTCGATATATTTCGAGAAAATGTACGTGATTGGTAGACTTCTAAAACGCTCATAAATGAGGGAGCATACTTAACAAGCTGTTGAGACAAACGAGAGAGAGACAAACGACACCAGAGAGAGAGACAAGAGACAAACGACACCAGAGAGAGAGAGACAAACGACACCAGAGAGAGAGAGAGAGAGAAACGACAAACGACACCAGAGAGAGAGAGACAAACGACAGAGAGAGAGACAAACACACCAGAGAGAGAGAGAGAGACAAACGACACCCAGAGGACAGGAAATGTGTTTAGTTGAGAGACAAACGACACCAGAGAGAGAGACAAACGACACCACAGAGAGAGAGAGAGAGAGACAAACGACACCAGAGAGAGAGAGAGAGAGAGACAAACGACACCAGAGAGAGAGAGAGAGACAAACGACACCAGAGAGAGAGAGAGAGAGACAAACGACACCAGAGAGAGAGAGAGAGAGACAAACGACACCAGAGAGAGAGAGAGAGAGAGAGACACCAACGACACCAGAAAGAGAGAGAGAGAGAGAGACAAACGACACCAGAGAGAGAGAGAGAGAGAGACAAACGACACCAGGAGAGAGAGAGAGAGAGAAACGACAAACGACACCAGAGAGAGAGAGAGAGAGACAAACGACACCAGAGAGAGAGAGAGACAAACGACAACCAGAGAGAGAGGAGAAACAAACACCAGAGAGAGAGAGAGACAAACGACACCAGAGAGAGAGAGAGAGACAAACGACACCAGAGAGAGAGAGAGACAAACGACACCAGAGAGAGAGAGAGAGACAAACACCAGAGAGAGAGAGAGAGACAAACGACACCAGAGAGAGAGAGAAAACGACACCAGAGAGAGAGAGAGACAAACGACGCAGAGAGAGAGAGAGAGAGACAAACGACACCAGAGAGAGAGAGACAAACGACACCAGAGAGAGAGAGACAAACGTATATGAAGAAAAGAATCAAAGACAAGAGAGAGAGAGAGAGAGAGATTGTCCCCTGGAGACAAACGACACAGAGGACGAAAAAAAGAAAAGAATCAAAGGTTTTTTCTTTGTTTTGTTTTTTGTTACTTTAATTTTCTTAAGCAGTGAACTCGATATCAACGGTTCTACAACAGCGACTCTTTGTTACAAATATAACTGTTTCAGAAAAGAATGGAAAGAAGCCCTGACGTTGTACTATACTTAGGTGTTCCTTTTTGTGGACAATGATCGGTGTCCTGCCGCTGGACGCTCTATCTGGTGGCATCGATTTTACTCGTAAAAAAAAAAAAAAAAAAAAAAAAAAAAAACAAAAAAAACGGAAATTTCCTAACTCCGGACTGCGAAGTGAAGACAAAGCGATCGCTACTTTTTCCTGTTTTTTTTTAAAATACATTCCAGAGAAAGATCCGGTTATTTCCTAGTTAGTCTTTGGCCAAGAAAATAAGCAAAAATTTTCTATTTTTCGCCACGAAAGTTTTCCTATTTCTTAATTCTTCGTTTAGTTTTTGTAACGCATCTTCCGTTATTGGAATCCATCTTCGGATTTCGGTGTTACATTTTTTTCCTATCATCTGTCAAAGTAAATTTTCCGATATTTCAGTTTCTGTACTTTCCACATCTCCAATTCATAGCTCGCCTCGGATTTTTTCACTTGTATACATTGAACAAAAAAACAAACAAAACAAAACAAAAAAAAAAAAAAAACAAAAAAAAACAAAAAAAAAAAAACAAACAAAACAACAAAAAAAAAAATCAAACAAAACAAAACAACAAAAAAAATCAAACAAAACAACAAAAAAATCAAACAAAACAACAAAAATCAAACAAAACAAAAAAAATCAAACAAAACAAAAAAAAATCAAACAAAACAAAAAAAAATCAAACAAAACAAAAAAATCAAACAAAACAAAACAACAAACAAAACAAAACAACAAACAAAACAAAAAACAAAACAAAACAACAAACAAAACAAAACAAACAAAACAAAACAACAAACAAAACAAAAAAAAAAAAAAAAAAACAGACAAAACAAAAAACAAACAAAACAAAAAAAAAAACCCAACAAAACAATGATAGTTTTCCAATACGCATCCTGTTTAGCAAAAGGACCAACTCAGTGGCTCGTTCTTTTTTTATTAAACATTCAATGCAACCCTCAGATGATTCTTACAGCGAAAACGGAATTAAATACCAAGGCATTCAAACACCAAATGGTTTCCGAGTTGGAGGTTTGCTCATTCTCCCGGTTAATAAATTAGTGCCTTGAAAATAATATTTAACATTTTTCCATCAACGGGTCGCGTTACCGACAAGAAAATAAATAAAACAACAAAAAAAATGCTTCGTGATCTTTTTGAAGGGTATTTAAGCAAAGTTTTTAGTAAGGAGAGACAGACAGCAACAGTTCACGACGTTCGGCTTAAAAGAAATTCCTTTACTCATTCAGCAGTCTTCTTCACCTAGCTACTTGACACTTATACTTTCCTCACTTTCTCCATTCTCTCGTGAAGAAATAACATTTCTTTTCATCTTAAACAACTACAAACAAGGTCTATAAAGAATTTTAACACTCACACACGCCAAGAAAAATTCAGTTGTAAAAAACACGAAAAAAAATCATATATATATATAAAATTTTTATTTTAAACACATTTTTCGCTTTTTTCTTTGTGGGCTGATTCAAATATGTAACAGAATCATTCTAGGCATTGTTCCATCCTGCTAAAGTCTCTATTCCACGTACCTCCTCATGAACCATCTAGCCTATGCTTTTCTCTTTCACTAACAGTCACTTCACATTATCTTCGATCCAATTCCAGAACTATCAGCGCGTCCTCCAATCTGAGCGAACACTGAACCACACAATCAAGCAAACTATCCAAATTAACTCCCCTTGGATTTAGTCTATTAACTTTCATTTCGCCTCACCCTAAAGCCATGGTCGTCGTACGGTAACCGCTATCCAATTTAACTGTTCCTCTTATATTACGGAAGTGTCAGTCCCAATCACTGCAAACGTTCGTCTCGAAGCATCGATATCTTAACTGCTAAAGCGGAGGAGTAATGGGCGGTCTAAATCTGCTCGAGATTTAGATCGCATGGACGGTCAAATGCCCATCTCTATTGTCTGTCTTCGTTTCAGTTCCAGTTCTAGTTTTTATACTGATTGTACCGAAAACAAAGTATCGTTAAATGTAATTGGTTTTGCTTGGAAGCGAGCGAAATTACGCTGCATGCGAAAACTTGGAATCGGATACACGGAAATGGAGACGGAATGGCAAACGTGGCGAACGAAAACGTGCGGAATTGGCTGGGGATTATATCTGGAAAGGTTTTAGGGTCGAAGTAAAAAGTGCATTTATTGTTATTCTCAGAGTGTCCATTAACGTATCCTAGAATATAATCGATAAAGTGTTTTCAATTTTTTTCTCGACTTTGTTGACAGAAGCCAGATATGAATTAACGCCAAGCACAACTTATATTTACCACACACAGACACACACACACACACACACACAAAAGCTGTTTATGTAACCAATAATGTCAAAAGCTGGCTTCATTAAGTAGGGACATTTCCTCTAATGATTCCATATCTAGTGATATAGCAAATACTAAAAGGATATATAGAAATACCAAATGATTATTACTATAGGAATGCATTGGAAATGATTTGAATACTAGCTCTTTATGGAACCTGAATATTATGGCTAGGATTTATGAAACAATCCATCCAAACTTTCATTCCTCTAATGATTCCATATCTAGTGATATAGCAAATACTAAAAAGCATCTATAGAAATACATTGCAAATGATTTTACTATAATTAGAAATGATTTGAATATATCTTTATGGAACCTGAATATTATGGCAAACAAATCCATCCAAACTTTCAAAATGATTCCATATCTAGTGATATATAAAAGCATTTATAGAAATTCATTGTAAATGATTTTACTATAGGAATGCATTAGAAATGATTTGAATACTAGCTCTTTATGGAACCTGGAATATTATGGCTAGGATTTATGAAACAAATCCATCAAACTTTCATTCCTCTAATGATTCCATATCTAGTGATATAGCAAATATAAAAGCATTTATAGAAATATTGTAAATGATTTGACTATAGGAATGCATTAGAAAATTTGACACTTATTCTTTATGGATTTTGAATATTATAGGATTTATGAAACAAATCCATCCAAACTTTCATTCCTTAATGATTCCATATCTATGATATAGCAAATACTAAAAGCATTTATAGAAATTCATTGCAAATGATTTTACCTAGGAATGCATTAGAAATTATTTGAATACAAGCTCTTTATGGAAACTGGGATATTATCAGGATTTTGAAACAACCATCCAAACTTTCATTCCATCTAATGATTCCATATCTAGTGATATAGCAAATACTAAAAGCATCTATAGAAATACATAAAATGATTTTACTATAGGAATGCATTAGAAATGATTTGAATACTAGCTTTTATGGAACCTGAATATTATGGCTAGGATTTATGAAACAAATCCATCCAAACTTTCATTCCCTCTAATGATTCCATATCTAGTGATATAGCAAATACTAAAAGCATTTATAGAAATTCATTGTAAATGATTTTACTATAGGAAATATTAGAAATGATTTGAATACTAGCTCTTTATGGAACCTGGATAAAAAAAAAAAAAAAAACTTTCATTCCCTCTAATGATTCCATATCAGTGATATAAAATACTCCCATTTATAGAAATTCATTGTAAATGATTTACTATAGGAATCATTAGAAAATTTCTTATTCTTTATGGAACCTGAATATTATTTAGGATTTATGAAACATCCATCCAAACTTTCATTTTAATGGAGTGATATAGCAAATTAAAAAGCATTTATAGAAATTTATAGAAATTCTTGCAAATAGATTTTGACTAGACATTGGATTTAAAACTAGCTTTTTATGGAACCTGAATATTATGGCTGGAATTCATGAAAAAAAAAAATTTTATTACTAATTAAAGAATATCAAACACTTAAAATCCCATTAGGTAATAATTTTTATTTCATTAAAGTTCTAAAGGATTTTGTTTGGAGGTTTTGAAGATTGACAGACAGCTGATTTTTTTGTTTGATATTTTTTAATATTTTTGCTCTGTCTTTTGACATCTCCCTAGATCTATATCCTCTTAAAAATTCCATACGGATTACCATAATTGTATCATTACAATCATTATATATATATATATATATATATATATATATATATATATATATATATATATCTCGATAACATTTCACACAATAGTCCAAGAAGCAGTTCTAGTCGAAAAGATATTGAAAATCAGCGCCGAGTCTATTTCCTGTTAGACGAAAACTATTCTTCAGAAATTGGATTAAGCAAAAAAAAAAAAAAAAAAAAAGTAGAAGAGAGAGAGAGAATTTGTGGAATATAAGAATTCTTGTTTTACACTTTGTTTTGTTTCCTTTTTTTGCGACAAGTTGAATTTTTAATTATTGATTATTTAAATAAATATTTATTTATATTCATTTTTTTTTTTACGAGCCCAAAATTTTCAACTCCTTATCCTTTCATATTCATAACGAAATTGTTTGGTTTTAAATTTTCTGTCTTCTCCTGTAGAAGATTTGCCAACTACTGGCGTCTTTTTGTTTGGTTAATTATAATTTTTCAAGCAAATGAATTTAGTAGATTGATGTTACTATCCTAGTTGACTTCAGAGTGAAAAGCTAATATGGCATAACGACAATACTAGAAAGAATAGTAGAAGATTTAAGTCATGCATGAAACTGCAACTCCCACCATTAGAGTCTGGCAAAGCGATAAGAAAAATGCCATGAATAATCAATAGGGACCTACATTTGTGACGAAAAACAGCAAAAAATCTTGTATGATTTTATCATCATAATGATAATAAGATTTCAAATGATTGGACATACACGACTGACCAATCAGAATCAGTCTTCACAAAAATAAAACATCAGAACTTTTATATATACACAATTACGAATACACATTATCATACTATTATACTCGCATAGACAAATTAGAATTTTTACAAACAGAATTATCTACAGTTATAAGATTTTCGATATTTATGAAAAGAAAAGTTTGTAGAAAAATTTGTGAAGATTTTTTGAAGTGAAACATAGCTCCTTCATTTAACTTTATGAAATCCATAATTAAAAAAAAATAGCGTTAATTTAATCAGGTCTAATAATGAAAAAAGAAAGTTCTTTGGTATTTATAAATCGGCCCAATCGTTTTATAGCAAAATGACCAACAATACATTTTATCTGTAGTTGAAGGCATACAATTGCGTTCAAAATATATTTAGTTGAAACCATAAAATTGTGTTAAAAATATTTAGATTTCGGCATTAAATAACCCATAGAGATGTTGGTATGCCACTAGACCAAATCTACCAGCCAACTTCATGAGTGAAAAATAGTCCTACTAAGTGTGGGGCGTGTCTCGAAAAATGTTTAAGTACTAAAGCATTACTACCCCACTAAAAAACCAACCACCCCCAAAAAAAAAAAAACCAATATTCCATTTACAAATTCCAGGCAAAATATATTGAGTATTTGGAATTATAGATGCGATTCCAAAGTAGGCACTTTGATAAATAAAGAACCATTTTTAAAAAAAAAAAAAAAAAAAAAACTTTCTTTCCATATAAACGAAAGACTCGGGATCAGGAATATCTTTCTCTTTTCTTCCAAATTTAATAGGGGGGGGTCAGTTTACTATGTAAATTTATTGTAAATTGGTCCCTTCAACGGAAGCCCCCCCTCTCCAAAGTCATCTGGAGTGCATAATTAGTAGTAATATTCAGCAAAACAAAACATGCATAAAAACAGCAAAGCAAAACACTTCAGATAACGAGTTTAAAAAAGAGAAAAATCGAACTTGCTAAACGAACGCTCCTCTGTGGCCCAATCGGTTAAGGCACGTCGGGTTATGCAACAGTTCCTTATAGGATACAGGTTCGATTCCTGTCGCAGGAGGCATATTTTCTATGAAAATTTCTCGGACGTTCAGGCCGGTAAATGTTGTTAATACTGTTTATTAAAAACAGAGCATTTACTTAAATATCTATATCTATAAAAAGAACGTATAAACATAAAAAAATGTCACACACACACACATATATATATACATATATATATATATATATATATATATATTAGCGAGAGAGAGAGAGAGTCAGGAGATAACGATATTTTTATATATCAACAATATCAAAAAATAAATTATAAAAAACAGATTTAAAATTTCAAGCATCCCTCGTTCGTGTGTATGTGTAGTCGCCCCCAACACGCAAATTTAGTCTGATGAAGTACTAAAGGATAAAATGTCTAACAAGAAAACGTTTTACACATTGTCATACATTTTCCACCCACATATATACACCGGTATATTAGCAGATTTCGTTTTGACTTGCGTAGAGGGATTAATTTACAAAGCAAACTGGACCGCCAATTAACTTCTAAAATGCTTAATAATAATAATATAAAAACGATATGTCAGAAGTGCTTAATCTACAGTAATATGAAGAAAAAACAAAAGATTATTTCCGGTCGCATTGCTTATTGGACAACTACACAAAGTTAAATTCCGAAATTGAAAGCCGTAATTTAGTGTTTTAGTTTGCGATGACTTTTCTAAGGATAAGTGAAAAAGAAACAAAAAAGTGTACGCTTCTGTAACTATTATTGATAGACAGGTACCTGCTATTAATATTGATTACAGAGTTTCATTCCCCCCTTAAATAACGGTTACAACCATTGTAGTCAAATTTTCCATTTTATTTTTGTTCAATTATGCCAAAATGTTTTAGTATCAAACGAATGAACTGTTACTCACCAAAAAAGAAAAGAAAATTAAAATCTTTTAATGTCGGCGAAGAAGACGTCCGCTTTTTGATGCTGTCGTTCATGTCTTCGTCTTCTGTACTTAATGTTTAATAAAATTGTCGACGTTTTTGTCTTTGAATTCTGAAAATTCAAACTGACTGAACACCTTCGGTGTCTTTGTGTTTTACATTTTTTTCTAATGTTAATCGAAGTTGAACACTTCAAAGAAAAGTGCAATTCAATTTGCGGTGTAATGTCACCTCGAACAACGGGTTCGGAAAAAATACTATAATCCATTGGCAATAAAATAAAAACCGACGGTGTCACACGTAAAAACGTATCCTGCAGTTTTAAATCCTTTTGGTCAACGATATTCAGTCACCCCCCACGAGGGCGTCATGTGGCATAAGGCCTTTTTAACGTGGGATAAATATATATATATATATATATATATATATATATATATATATATATATATATATATATATATATATATATATATATTACTTTTGTTCACCCGTTTGATTGAACTTTTTGTTTTTATATATGGCTTATCAATCTTTTGCAGCTTACTTAAACGAAGAAAATACTTTTAGATAGGCTTTTGTGGAGATAATAGTGATTTATATGAAAAGATGACTTACATTTTAAATATCAATTTTATCCCGGCTTCGAAGTTTCTTGGTGAACCAATTTACAGTCTTCAGGCGGCCCTGGTTTTAAACGTTATTTCCATGTTTTTTCCGGATTTTTTTTTTTTTTTTTTTTTTTTGGGGGGGGTTCAACCGAAAGCCAGAACACCCTGAAAACTGGAAATGTTACCAAAAAATCTTAGAAGTCAGGATAAAATTGATATTTAAAAGTTAAGTAATCACGAGATATTATATATATATATATATATATATATATATATATATATGAAATTTTTCTCCGATTAAACAGTGGAGAACTTACCAATTTTTCAATATGATACAATAGGAAAACTAGTAACTGCTCTTTTTCGTCCAATGTCGACTTTTTTTCGTATTTTGCTTTGATAAAGTCATTGGACGAAACGCGACATAAAATTACTAGTTTTCTTATTGAATCATTTTAGGTATTTATTCATATATATATATATATATATATATATATATATATATATATATATATATACACACACACACACACACGTTTTTGATTGAACTGTTTTTGTTATTATTTATATATATATCAATCTTTTTGCAGCTTACTTAAACGAAGAGGTCAACTTTTAGATAGGCTTTTATGGAGATGATATTCATTTCTTGATACAAGTCCTACTAATTAACTCACAGCTGGAGGTGGGGGAGATTTTGAGGATTCATACCTTTCCCATGGGTAAACAGGTTAAGCAAATATAACAAACATGACTGAATTAGAACTGGGTCTCCCATTTCCAATTCCAAGCCATTATCCATTGGAACAATGGTACATCCAAATGGATACCATCTGGATTTGGAAATGGGCCACCCATCTCGGTACTGGCATGCTAGATGTTGCTTAACCTGTTTACCCAATTCAAAGCTCAAGAGCTACTCAAAATCTGAGATTGTCACAAGGGCGTACGAAGTGGGACCAAGAGGTGAATATCATGAGGATATGAAGGATAGACAACAGTTGACCTCTGACCGTTTAAAGTTATGAAATATATAAATATATATATATATATATATATATATATATATATATATATATCAATGTGTGTGTGTGTGTGTGTGTGTATATATATATATATATATATATATATATATATATATATATATTAAAAATGAATACGATGATACGATGACAATAACGCAATCTCAGTAATTTTATGCTATTTTTCCTCGGACATATGATTCAAACGACGGAGCGGAAGAATACATTGAGCGGCAAAGAATGCGTTGTCATAAGGCGCGACTTAGTTCCTTATTGTACGCCATATTGAAATGTTGGTAAGTGAACGCTTATTCACGGAAAATCGCGGCTATATTCCGACTTAAACGAAAAATCGTGTTACGACGTATCGTAGGAATAAAATCTTCTCGTGAGTCGTGGACCTCCTGTACAAAGAAGAACCCTGAGGAGAATTCTACCGTTGACCAAAAGGATTTGAGTTGACGAGTCAGTCGACTGGCTGATCGGTTGAACCCTACCCCCGGGGAGGAAAAAAAAAAAAACAAAAAAGGGCAGATTCTTTCGGGAGGTAACGTTTAAAACCCGTTTATACGGGTTCAATGGGCATATTTTGGCCGAGCTCACGGGCTCGGAGATCCCAAAATTGAGATCCCACGGGCTCGGAGATCCCACGTTAAACCGGCCTTGTGCCATATGACGCCCTATTATCTAAACTGAATATCGTCCTAGTCTAAAAGTCTTGACCGGCTGATCGGTTGAACTCGGTTGCAAAAGGGCGATAAGGAATCCTGAATATAAAAACGAAAAACAGTTCAATCTTTCGGGGAAGGTAAAATATATATATATATATATATATATATATATATATATATATATATATATATGAATAAAAAATGACAATATTAACGCTCTATTTTTTATTATTTTTTTTTCCATGTCGACAATATAGTTAAATTTTATACCAATCTGTCTTGCCCACAGAATTGATCTGGGAATGTAACTATATTGTCGACATGGAAAAAAAAATCCCTTACTATAAAGGTAATTTACATTAAACAGAAAAAAAGAGGTTTAGACAGAAGCGTCTTTTTAAATTTGGATTTTTTAATAACAACAAAAGCATTTCAATTTCATTTTGTCTTGAAAATGTCGGAAGACGAAACGCGTCGGCAAAATCTAAGATTTTTTTTCCAATTGTCATTTTATACCATATATATATATATATATATATATATATATATATATATATATATATATATATATATATATATATATAATATATATATATATATATATAATATATATATATATATATATATATATATATATATATATATGTGTGTGTGTGTATTTAGTTAGCAATCCTTCTTTCATGCACGTTTCCGTGAATACGACAGACAAGGTGTTTTGATTAAGTCATTTTAATTTAAGTCAGAATTTCTAATGTGATCTTACATGTTTTCCTTTTCGGAGGATAAATTATATAAAATCTGTCCAATTGTTCTTTCTTTCCGAGCTATGCATTTAGCCATTTTCAAGGTTGAAATATATTAACTCTTAGCAAGAAATAGATTGTTGTATGCATGTATTTATACAATTTCATTTTCAAAACACGGTCAAGATATTATGTCGATGTTCATAGTTGATATTATTGAGTGTTGTTTTTTTGTGTTTTTATTAATTAGTTTTAGACTTTTTTATATGTTGACGATGCTGTGGGTAGTTTGTTACTATGTAAGTAGCATGGCAGGTCCTAGCTTTGAAGGCTAGACCTTCATAAGATTAATAATGAAATATTTACGTTAAGAATTTCTTTCAACTCAGACGAGTAGACACAGCATTGTCGTACCGTTTGGCCATATTTGGTCAATGAATGCCCAATGTTTCCATAAAAGTAAACTGCAAAATTATTACCATTACAATTAACACGATCACCAACGATAAAAGAACATTATTTTTTTTTTAATCATTTCACCCCAAGTAAGAATGCCACTAGTACGCAGGGAGCTACAAAGAGAGAAACTGAGAGAAAAGATTGTGTATAGGGAGGATTTGAGGAAAGGATAAAAGATGAACGGTCTTCAAGAAGATGCATTTAAATTTTGGAAGATTGTAGTTGTCAAGGAAGCAAGTAAACGGAAGGGAGTTCCACAGCCGGGAAGTGCGAGAAAGGAAACTGTTGGAGTAGAAGTGGCGGTTACATCTAACAGGTGTTTCATTAAGACAGATTATATATAAGGGTGTTTCATTAAGACGGATCAAAGTCAGCAGAAAATACATCAGTGTTATTGGTGAACATTTATTTATTTCTCTATTGGATCATGTTATTTAAATTCACGGCGATTATGTGTGAAAAATAATATCACCCAAATGTTCGTCAAGGCTTCTGTGACACAACTCGATGGTCAAAATTTTTGATGACGTCTCTGCACAGTTGCTCCTCGATCTCACCAATATGCCTTATTATCTCATCCTTCAACTGTTGAATTGTTGTTGGCTTGTTGGCATAGACCTTATTTTTGAGATGACCCCAAAGGAAGAAATCTAAAGGCGTCAAGTCGCACGATCGCGGTGGCCAATTGACTTTACTGTTTTGAGAGATGATGCGACCTGGGAAAAATTCTGTTTGAACGTCTATTTTAGTAATAGGCTTTGATAACTTTAACACGTTGTTTGATTGTTCATCTTTCCATGGTTGAAATTGCCAAAGACTTGAGTTGTTAAATCTGAAAGAAAAAGAAAAAAAATCATTAGACGCTTAAAGTTGATTGATATTAAAATCGGTCCAAGTTATTGGAAGAACACCCTTTATTTCAACAGTAAAATGATTGAACCTAGATGCCAATCTGGTAGCACGCTTAAATTCACGCAGTCGGTGCACCAGGGAAGAAAGCTCGTCAGAGCAGTTGCTATGGAAATATTTGTAGAAAAGACAGAGAGAAGCCACGTCGTGTCGGTGAGAATGTGACTGAAGTCAAGATGCCAAGTCAGGTTCGATTTCATTACAGATTCTTTTTGGATTTTGTCAAGAACCTTGAGATGAATAGCAGGAGTATCAGACCAAATATGGCAACAGTATTCAATGCACGGACGAATGGTAGATTTGTAAATGTAGATTTGAGGAGAAAAATTCTCTGGCACGATACAGAGTTCCAACTTTCCTTTCAGTAGATGCAGCTATTGATTCAATGTAGTTGTTCCACTTTAAGCCAGTTGAAAACGTGAGGCCAAGAAGTCGCAATGTGTTGCTTTCCAGGAGTCTATCATCATCCATGCTAATGGCGGGCAGGGAAATAGCTCTGTGGTGGTTAAATGAAAGCAGGTTTGTTTTGGAGGCATTAAAATTTACAACTCATTTCCTGCCCAAGTTAACCACAGATTGGAGGCCCTTTTCAAGAGTATCAGCCAAGTTTATTTTGTCATCTCTGACCGATTTTCTATTGAGACAGGAGTAAATAGTAGTATCATCTGAATAATAGCTTACTTGGGAACTGATTACATGAGGAAGATCATTGGTGAAGATCAGAAACAGTGTATGACCCAGGATAGAGGCGTGGAAGACACCCACGTACGTGTGAAAAGATCTAGAATCGAGCCCGTTGAAAGCGACCTTCCTTTTACGATTTTATAGGAACGATTGGATTAAATCAAACAATCGTCCTGTAATGCCGTAGCCCCGGAGCTTATAGAGAAGACCAGCGTGCCAAACCCTGTCAAACGTCTTATTCACAGTTATTATCAAGAGCTTTTATATTTGTTATTGAAACTCTTGAATCAGCGTAACTGATTAAAATGTGATATACCCTTTTTTTTTTACTGGATATTTTACAAATCAATTATAATTTGGAGGAATATTTGATCCCAGCAGAGATTAATTTTAAGCGTTTACTCTTGTTTGAAAATTTTAATTTTTACTCTGTTGGCCATTTATACCGAGTCTAATAATTTCAACTCGATACGGAGCATCTGAAAACGAGCGGGTTAATTAAAGTTTGGAGCCAAGAAGACGAAGGGGTTGGAGGCGAAATAGTTGGTTGAGGTTGGTCTTTAAAAAGAAAATGATGTTTATATTGAACGATGTTTGGTGTCTGATGAATTCGGAACCCTTCCCTTGCCTTCCCGGCCTCAAGATACACATTCTGCTCCGAAAGTAGTGCTTGCGATATAATTTGCATGGAAGTGACAACGGATACAGGGAGCACAATAAAACCGTTGGATGGAGCAAGTTTCCAGCTATAATAATACTGTTTTTTTTTCCCTACAGAGTCATTGCCGATACATTTCCACACGTGACAAATAAGTGATTATGGTGCATGACACATTGATTGATTGAAGCTTTTTCTAGTTATTTAAAACCAGAAAACAGTTTTTAGATTGGAAGAATTTTGGGAGATTATAGGAAATTTTGGCGCCAATAATGATTTACTTATACAAGTCTTACTAATTAACCCATAGCTGGGGGAGTGAACGTGGGTCCATACATTTCTCAAGGATCGTAACTGGAATTGGAACTTGGCTCACCGATTAACAATATTGAGTCATTATCCATTACACATCCAAACTTACAACGCCTGGTTTTTTCCCATCAGTGGTCACCTATCCAAATTCTGACCAGGCACGAGATTGCTTAACTTCGGCGATAGTACGGGGACCGGTGTTTCAACGTGATGTGACCGTAAGTCTAAGATAGATCAGAAAGGACTGGTTCGATTAATGAAGAAGTAAGAAATAGTAGAAAGTTGGGTTTATTCCTCCAAAAACTTTGAATAGGGGAGAAAGATTTCGTGCGACACATTTCGTTCTTTAGGATTTCATCAGTTTCCTTATGCAGTTTCCCATATTGTGTTAATACAAGATATGCCAAAAAAGGTGAAATGGTAGAACCTGGAAATTTTTGTCCACTTTGTCATAGATTCTCTCTCTCTCTCTCTCTCTCTCTCTATATATATATATATATATATATATATATATATATATTTGAGGAGAAATGGTAGAATAGTGGATAGAAGCTCGGAGGAATCGGAGAGCCGAGTTCGAATTCCAGTCGAATGTATTACATTCGCTTACGTGCTAATACCCTTGGGAAAACTATAAATCCTCCTCTCCCTCTAGCTATGGGTAATTAGCAGGACAGGCTGGGTTCTATAGCCGTGGATGGAGAAGGACAACTCTGAATTCAAAACCTGCGGAGGGTCGTTTGGGAACCTTGTGGCACGTAGTGCACCAGGTCTCTGTATTCGGCCCTTCAAAAAGTGAGGTTGGTTCTGCACAAAGCCTTACCACTATAATCAAATAAAAAATGCTTGTGTCTTGGATGAGGGTTCCTAGGAACTTAACTGCATTGACCTTCATACGTCGAATACGACGGGAGAGTCCATCGTGTATATATATATATATATATATATATATATATATATATATATATATACCGTGTGTAACATAAAATGTTTGATATCTAAAAAACACTAAATGGAGTTTCCGGTTTTTAGATAGGACGTTTAGCTATCTTGATACCATTTATCCTAACCCCTTATTATTCAGCTAGAAAGAGAACAGGTTAAATAGTTTTTTGCCAGTCCCACTGTCTTCCAAATTGAGCAATGGTGAGAAGAAAAAGATAATTCAGGTTTTCAGTAATGGTACCAACATTCATACTCTGGCTTCCATCTTCAAATCCATTCAAGAACAGGGAACGTTAAATAAGTTTAATAATGAGAGGAAAACTGGATCGGGAGGTCACAACAGGAAGAGGGATCATCATTTCAACAGAGCTAATGAGATGAACCAGAAAAGATCCAACTCAATCCATATGACGTTTGGCACGTGAGAGGGAAGTTTCACTTATGATAGTCCGAAGAGTAGTGACAAAAGACTTGAAAAAGAAATTGTACGTAAAATCTGTGAGGCACTTTGTTACTCCAGGACAGAAAGTTAGAAGGTTAGAGAGGATGAAGATCATCTTGAATAAGTTGGGAAATGATCCTGAAATATATATATATATATATATATATATATATATATATATATATATATGAACTTTATGTCAATGCTTCATGAGCTTCCCATCTTAAGCTATGATTAATTAATGATGAACATGTAATTTTCATTTATGATCAATTTCATCAAGATTCTCTTGTTAAGCTTGGAGAGTAATTATACATTCTTATTGCTCAAAGTAGAGTTCAATAGTGTTATAAAAACTTCGGAGAATTCCAGTAAGATATGTTTAATCATTTCTAAGCTACAAGGATTGGTAACTTAATTTCACAATTGGACAATTTTGCTGTTACAGGATTTGGACAATTTTGTTGTTACATAGGGTATATTATGGAAAAAACTATGACACGTAAAGAACATAAAGAAGAAAAGAAGGAGAAGAAGAAATGAATGGTTTATACTTTATATTAATAAAGAAGAAAGAAAAGAAAAAGAAGAAGAAGAAGGAGGAGGAGGAGGAGGAGAAGAAGAAGAAGAAAAAACAGAAGAAGGAAAAGCAGCAGAAGAAAATAAGTGAAGGAGAAGAAGAAATGAATGACTTTATATTAATAAAGAAGGAAAAGAAGAAGAAGAAGTAGAAGAAGAAAAAAGAAGAATAAGTGAAGGAGAAGAGAAAACGAATGCTTTATACTTTATATTAATAAAGAAGAAAGAAAAGAAGATGAAGAAGAAGGAGGAAAAGAAGAAGAAGAAGAAGTAGAAGAAGAAAAAGAAGAATAAGTGAAGGAGAAGAGAAAATGAATGATTTATACTTTATAATAATAATAAGAAGAAAAGTTCAGGCTCATAATAAAGAAGAAAAGAATTGTCAGTAACAAAAATTAATATAAAGAATATAATGAAAAAACAAATAGAAACCATGATAAAATTTGGACCTAAGAGAAGACCAAATTGACAATTAGAAATATTAAAACCAAAAGAACGAAATTAAATAAATAAATAAAATAAAATAATGACCCATGAAAGAAAATGGCGGACGCTTTTTGATTTGTACTCAGTGGCATGGCGACAAGGGAGTGATGGCAGAACGCCAACGTAATTAACGCAAACATTCGGGTTAATGGAAGGTGTTGAACACACTTTGGAGAGTACAGATCAAGGGAGACAATTTGGACCACAGGAGATCAAAACATTGCAGTTAAACTTTACTTCTCTTTGCAAGCAAATGACTAATAAAAAATCACAAAGGACACATTTCACGTCTTGCCGTGTTTTGTTTTACTTGATAAGACATAAAACTATTGGCCCATGATTCTCTTCATCAATCGTTATCTAGATTATACATATGATAGCTTGATTCTATCAGTAATGCTTGCATTCATTCCTGACCACTGACAATCCCTTTCTTCCTGATTTTCAATGCATTCCTATAGTAAAATCATTAGCAATGCATTTACATTATACATATAATAGCCCGATTCTATCAGTAATGCTTGCATTCATTCCTGACCACTGACAATTCCTTTCTTCCTGATTTTCAATGCATTCCTATAATAAAATCATTAGCAATGCATTTACATTATACATATAATAGCCTTATTCTATGAGTAATGCTTGCATTCATTCCTGACCACTGACAATCCCTTTCTTCCTGATTTTCAATGCATTCCTATAATAAAATCATTAGCAATGCATTTACATTATACATATAATAGCCCTATTCTATCAGTAATGTTCGCATTCATTCTTGACCACTGACAATCCCTTTCTTCCTGATTTTCATTGCATTCCTATAGTAAACTCATTAGGAATGCATTTACATTATACATATAATAGCCCTATTCTATCAGTAATGCTCGCATTCATTCTTGACCACTGACAATCCCTTTCTTCCTGATTTTCAATGCATTCCTATAGTAAAATCATTAGCAATGCATTTACATTATACATATAATGGCCCTATTCTATCAGTAATGCTTGCATTCATTCTTGACCACTGACGATCCCTTTCTTCCTGATTTTCAATGCATTCCTATAGTAAAATCATTAGCAATGCATCTACATTATACATATAATAGCCCTATTCTATGAGTAATGCTTGCATTCATTCCTGACCACTGACAATCCCTTTCTTCCTGATTTTCAATGCATTCCTATAGTAAAATCATTAACAATGGATTTATATTATACACTAGTACCGCATTGTGAACCAACCTTCTTAGCAGCAGATCTAGGAATTGATTCAATATAATTGCTCTACTTCATATCAGTAGAAAATGTGAGACCAAGAAGGCGCAATGGATTGTTCTCCTGGAACTTAGCGTTAGCCATGTTGGTGGAAGGCTTAAATGATTCTCTATACTGATTAAAGGATAGCAGTTTCGTTTTGGATACGCTGAAATTTATAGGCCATTTCTTGTACCAGTTAACAACTGATTAGAGGTCGGAGCAGGTGCCTGTTTCACATTATTGGATCTAACGGACTTACTTTTAAAACGGGAGTAAATAGATATGTCATTAGCATATATACCTAGTTGGTAACTGATGACATCGGGAAGGCAGTTGATGAAGATAATAAACAAGGTAGGGTCAAGGATAGATCCCTGGTGGAACACCCGCTATAATGTGAAATAATCTAGAAGCGTGGTCGTTCAAATCGACCTTCATGACCCGATTTGGTGCTCCATACTTTCAGCCTTGTACCAGATCTAAGCTACGCTTAGAAAACCACCAGGCACATCGGCATTGTGTAATGGTTAGCAACTTTGTTTCGCTAGATCAATTACGACTGAATAGTGAGTTCGATCCTTACTGGGCGCCCCGCACTTTCGGCCTTGTACCACATCTAAACTACACTTAGAAAATCACCATTACACGATTTGTTAAGAATGATTCGGTTAACTCAAATATTTGGCCCGAGACACCATAGCCTGTGAATGCTAAACTATGTCAAAGAGTATCTATCTATATTCCTGAGATGAGGTATTATGTACACTATTTACATTATTCGGACTATTGTCCTCATCTTAGACTATTCTGTTTTGATCTCGTGGAAAGCGGGGAAGGGGAAGACACCATTTGGTTTCAGGAAGAAGATGAAAGAGAGAAAGGAGGGAAAGGAAGATAGAAGGGTTTAACGCCTCTTGCTTATTTGTCATAAAAAATGGACTATTCTGTTTTGATCTCGTGTAAATAATGGACTATTCTGTTTTGATCTCGTGGAAAGCGGGGGGTGGGAAGACACTATTTGGTTTCAGGAAGAAGATGAAAGAGAGAAAGAAGGGAAGGAAAAAGAGAAGTGTTTAAGGTCTCCTGCCAATACCTCATAAATAATGGTCTATACCGTTTTGATAAACAAAACGCAGATCAGAGACGCTACTTGGTTTCAATGAGAAAATGAAAGAAAGAAGTAAAGGTAGAAGAGTTCAATGTTCGTTTCAGTGAAATGGAACAAGTGGTCAATTTCAAATCTTTTCATTTGTACCCACTTCTTAAAATAACGACCAGCATTCACATTTACGATTGTTATTGCAATATTTTGTTAAAGTTGTTAAGCTAAAAAATTTAACGATGCGACCAGGGAATTTCTACAGATATTTTATTGTCATAGAACTCGCTATAGGCTTACTCAATCATTAACTTAAGAATTAAGATTCATCAGAATATTAAAATAGGAAAACATTGAAATTTTCTCGGGTTTTTCTACGTGTTATTTCTTTTATGCCGTTTCTGAAAGAAAGGG